TGCTGTACTCTCGGCACCAGCACCAGCCATAGACTCTTCAGAAACCCAATTACCCAGGCACACACGCCGAGCACTAGCACAACTCCGTACAAACAAGTCCCCCCTACTACACCAATACCTACACAAGATAGATCCAGCCACACATCCGTCCCCTCTTTGTCCACTCTGTCTCAGACATGATCACAACACCTGCCACCTGTTTGGCTGCTCGGAACTGGTCACGCCCTTGTCGCCCCTGGTTTTGTGGGACTCTCCCATCGAGGCGGCGGGGCTGTTGGCGCGCTGGGGAGAGAGGTTGGGCTGGCCACAGGAATGGGTGTAGGCCTCGTCCCGCACTTGTCGCGGGACGGGGAGGGCGAATAACAACAAGAAAGCACTTCAAGTAAAATTTATTGATTGACAAAGGTTACCTACGTATTTAAAAACAAATTTTTCAATCAATATTTAAAACAATAGCACGTACTTTGGCGTCTGTGCGGCCCATCTTGCAACGGTGAGGGGGCCTGAACCTCTTGGGAGGGGGGCGGCGCAGACGACACGGCTGGGCATACTGGGCCATAGTCGCTGTCACTCGCCTCTGCGATCATGGCGGGAGCTGAAGTGAAAAATGAAGAAAGCACTTCAAGTAAAATTATTGAATTATATTTATTAATTATATTGTGCGTAAATTGATAGCTGGCTTGGTCCCGGTTCGGTAGAACTGGTAAGTTTTCAACTATAGCTGACGTCCCGGTACGTCAGCTATAGCCCAGTATGCCCGGCTGGGCATACTGAGCCATAGTCGCTGTCACTCGCCGGCGGGAGCTGAAGTGAAAGATGAAGAAAGCACTTCAAGTAAATGTAAATTAAAACAACGTTAGCATATATTTATTTTCAGGAAGTAGCGTTCCCGGTTCGTCGCGAACTGGTGTAAATGAGCCACTAAGTTCGTCCCAGTCTTCGCCTGATTTGAATCAAGGGGGAGAAAACTGACCATATGATGAGCCAAATTTCTAGCTGGCTTTGTCCCGGTTCAGTTTAACTGGTCAATTTACAACTATATGAGTCGTCCCGGAGCGAGACAACCGGGACGGGCAATATAGGTAAAAAGTTACCACTTCGACTGAACCGGGACAAAGTCCGCACCATACGGTCATTCCTATCCACCTGAAATCCAGCCGGTACAAGACTGGGACGAACTTTGTGCCTTATTTTTACTAGTTCGCGCATACACAACTCATTTGCAACAAAAGAAGATGCATCACACGTACCGCTTGAATTACGAAGAGGAGCGATGATAACAGGGCTGCTTCTGACCGCTGCAGAAGGATCTACGCCTGGAGTGATCTCCCTTGCAAGAGTGCAACACTCTTGCGAGCTAGGGTCAGTCACTGTCATGATGCTGGTTTCGACGGAATCCTTGAGCTTCTTCGATTCCTTCTTATTTGCAGTTTTCTTTCCTTCTTCTATGCCTGGCGTGATCTCCCTTCTTTTCTTCATTGCGGTTTCTTTCTTCTTTCCAGTTTTTCCACGACAACTTGGTCGCACTCCCACAGGCAGAGCAGAATGTGCTGCCACTTCGCTGATTGACTCATCGAGTTTTCGCTTCTTTGACGATAAAGACGAAAGCAGTCCTCTCCTTCTCCGCTTTTCTGTTGACACTCCCATAGACAGAGAATCATGTGTTGCCAATTGTTTGTTTGACGGCTGCAGCGGAATGTTCGAAGTGCGATCATATATTACTTTATCCGCTGCAGTTAATTTCTTTACATCATGTACTAATTTGCTAAGTGTTGGCCAAGATTGTGCTTCAGCATCTTGTGCTGCCTCTTGGCTAGTTGGCAGCTCCAGCGGAGTGATGCGACTTTGCCCACTCGGGTCAATACTTCCAATCCAAGCCCAGGATGAGAGAGAGAATCCCCCTTGAGAGAATCCAAGCCCAGGAATGGAATTCCTGAGCTTGGATTCTCTCAAGGCAGAGCCTGTCGAGGCTGGGGCTCGTAAACGTTCCCTTCTCAATGAACTTCTGCACATGTTGTTTCAATATTACTTCGATGTCAGACATTTGAAAATGAAAGAAAAGCGTCGAGCGTGTTTTTATTTAAAATAATTTCCACTGAACAATGAACATAAGAAGAACATAAGCTCGCTCGACTACCACTTTCAAGCCAGTATTTGAAATAGTGCCGCAAATCTACTGT